GGAAAAAGCAATCGGAAGTCTGAAGAGCAATTGTTCTTGCAGCGTGGCCAGGTCACCAACATGACTTGCGCAGACCTTTCGCAGGACCTTCGCGAACCTTTCGCGACTGCAGTGAGAGCACACTCGAAATCAGCCTTTGAAATTCGATTACTAACAAGGAAGAGGTGGGTTTTCGAACGACGCTCATATATTGTCTTGATGCTGAGCCGAAAAAGGCAAGGTATATATCATCTATCTCACTGAACACTTATTGTCATTTCAGTCTAGACAGAACATTATCGTCAGCCGAAGCGTCAGCCCAAATACCAAGCAACTGATAGTAACCTCTTCACCAGTCGGGATGTCCCACTTTGCCCAAATGTCCAAATCTCCAGCTGCATCCATCTCATAATTCCTGTGATGGAATCTGGATCTACAGCAAACTATCTGCACCCTCACATTTGAAAATTTCAGTACCCAGCGCAACACCAAAGAAATTCGGTGGTCAATCAGGGCTAGCCTGGCCAAGGGGCAAATCCGATGCCAACTCAGGAGCGTGATTGAGGAATTCCTTGCTAAAGCTGCACACAGGTGTGATTCAGCAGCCAAACCAGAACAATAGCCAGAATCGGGACGAGGACTCTTTTTAGTGACTTAGCTGCTCCATGTAATTAGTGGCTTGCTTAAAAATGCTGTGTATTAATTCTCACCGTTCATTTAATTTCTGCGGGATCTTACTTACAAGTTCAAACATTCATGCATGGTCATGCCAAGTTTGGTCAGAAAACAAAAGCACCATGCTAGTTGTTCTAGGTTAGCCAAGGCTGTCCCAAACGCCCCAATCAGAAATGTCAAAAGCACCACGTAACAACTAACAACTTACTAAATCCTTTACAAGCTGCAAAAATAGGAATGATGTGCGGTTTACCCTCAGGCCCTTTGGCGGCATGCGAAAGAATAAATTGGTTCACCGCCTCTCAGGCTTCCGGTGATTCCATCGCTGTCACACCGGTGGCCAGGAGCCCCTAGTAGCGTCCTTGCTCCTACCCCCCGTAGTCATGCTGCAACACCCTTGTCTTCAACTTCTTATCATTTTTGTCAGTGAACGTTTTGGGTATGCAAAACTGTTTGTCCTTTTCCACCGGCAATGCTTTGAGACCGCCTTTGCCTTTACCTCCAGCGTGAAAAGGACAAATACTTTGCAACTAGCAGGACGAGGCAATCTTCGTAGTATAGAGCAAACGCCAAAGGTCGCTATGACATAAGAGTCTACGATAGTCTATGATCCAATTCCAAGGTATTTTGAACTTAAAGCTGCTATCGAACATCCAAGGCCTGGTAGGTGCTCTCCTCCATCCTCACAGCAAACCAAAAGTACCAATGACCGAAAAGAACAAAACTTACCACCCATGTTGGCTTTATGGACAAGTTGAACATTCCAACCTGATGGAAACCAACATCGACATCAAAAGGCAAAGAAACAAAACTGCAACTGAGGCCAGGGGCCAAGCTGGGGCAACTAGTAAGGTTAATCAACGATAAAAGTAGCTGCCCAAGCATCAGCTGCAGTTCTTTGCTGCATCTGGTCTTGCAGGCAGCTGTCAGTTTATCAAAGTCGCGGGTGTACCTGGGTGACCCAGGCGCTGTGCCGTCAGAATCTGACACACTGACAACGGCCCATTGCTGTGGATTGTTGAATTTTACATGTTCTGTGATCAAAGACTGCTGCTTGCTGCGACCAGAATCTGTTCAGATTCATCCATCTTCGTTGATCATTGGCCAGCAGTTGGGTTGCCGCAACCGAAGTAAAGAACTGAGCCGCAGACCAGTAGAGGGTGCGACGGATCTCCTGGAATTCAAAGGAACCCAAAAGCAGCAGCTGCTCAGTTGTCTCCCTGTAGAAAGGCATCGACCATGGCGGCGAAAACATGTGCCACCACGGCTGCCATGATTCTACAGATGGAGCACTCTGCAGGTAGCTGCCTCAAAACACGGACAAACCCCACGTTGGCAGCGTGAAAGTGCAGTCGCAACCAATGTTACTTCGTACCAGTACCTTTGGCACATTTGCCTTTGCCTCGCACAAAATACACATTGAGGAAATTATGGGAACATCTTCACACTAATTGGAGAGCTGCTGCAATGACTAAGCAGTGCACCGTGTACAAAACATATAAGGGCTTAAATGTGATGTACGTAAAGTGAGCCTTCCAGTTTTAACGATCTTACTTTGAACTTTCTGAATTCATCCATGGACATCCTACAGTTGGTGTGGAAGATGCCAAGCAATACCAAGCAGCCGTATTGGCTTGTCATCCATGCGGCTATTGCTGCCACACCACTTCGGCCCAAGCTGAGGTCGTTAATGCTATCCTTACCAGTGCTATTTGGCAGCGAGACATGTCAATTGTGGTAAACAGAACCCAGTAGCCCCTAGTAGCTTCTTGTTCCTAGTACAAGTAGTAAGGCCAGGAGCCCCTAGTAGCGTCCTTGCTCCTAGTAGTAAGGCCAGGAATCCATGCCGTCCTTGTGCATCACCTTTCGTCCCCACTCTCTATCCGCCGAGGTGCTACATGCGAGGGCAGCTGGCTATGCTTGCGAATGGAGACCTTGAAGGCAAGGCAGGTCTCTTGCACTGCGAGGGCTGGGGCGTGGCAGGGGCAAATTCACTTGCAGTGCTATCTTTTCACGGCGACAAAAGGAATTTATGCAGGCGGGGCGGGACTACACTTTGCCATGAAGCCAATTAGCAACAAGCCTCCTTCGGCCCTTGCAAGTAAGGACAAAGTAATGCACATTCAAGCTGCATCGCTTATCTGAAGGCTCTTTGGGATATGTAGAAGCTTTTCTCCAGCTTTCACGTGCTCAGATGTGACCAGCATCGCTCCCTTTGCAGTACCATGGACGTATTGAAGCTTGGAGGAGACCTTGGACTCTAAGTCAAAGAATGTCCACTGCGCTCTCACAGCATTGCACTGATTTTTACGAGAAAGGAACAATGAAAGCCAGTTGAAAAAAAAACAGTATGCGGGTCCTGGTTATGAACACACTGCGACCAAAGTCTGCGAGAACATTGCCCAAAGCGACCCGTAAGCATGCTTTTAGCAAACAAGCAGCGCTATAGTACACCAGCAAATCAGCAACACACCACCAGCAGCCCAGCAGCGCACCAGCAGAAACAGCGGCACACCAGCACCAGCATCAGAAATAGTATATAGTAGCCCAGGAGCAAAAATAATAGCAGCAAACCAGCAGCAGCGGAGCGAAAAGTAGCAGCAACAAGCAATGCGGTTCTGACAGCAATAGTCTTCAAACACCTTGCTGATGCAAATGATGCTATGACATATGGGAGTTGCATTTGCTGCATCACCAACTCATCAAACAGGTACCAAAGTAAAAGCAAAATCTCAAGTTTATATACAGGGTTTAGTCATTCTCGAAGCTGTCTTTTTGATGTCTGACAACTCACTTCATTCGCAGCATCTAACTTCAGCCAAGCCTATCGGCTGGCTTTCGTAACAAGCTGCTGTTTGACGCCAAGCCACTCCTGTGAAGTGGCTAAACTAAACTAAACAGCTACAAGTGCCTGCATTACTTTCTCGTGTTGGTGGATTGCAGAAAATTAATGCAACTTGGCTGCAAGTCCACCATGCTGCTCAACCCAGCTTGCAAGCTCCTGAAATCTCATCACCATGTCAGGACTGCCACGGCGGGTGGCCAAAGAGAGAAGCACTCCAAGCAATGAAAAAGAACCTGAGACTTGCCGATCTTTACAAGGGTCAGGCAATGAGCATATGACATGTTGGGGTCTGACTACTGGCTCGTCACAGGTTCCCAAGCCCTGCCCTCATTTCATGATTCGATTCTCAGAGAGCATGTTGCTGAGAAAGGAACTCTATCATCTCTATCGCACCAATTTTGCCTCTGAAAAATAGGACTTGCAGTCCCAGTTGCCATAGAGCAATAGAGAGGAAGTCCAGCTTGCGCCCTCGCTCGACTTGCCTGCCTGGAAGTACATGAAGCCAAGTCAAATCTAATTGTATGATCCTACTACTGTACTTGTATGAGCCCAGGCCCAGGCCATGTGCAAATGGTTTTCGCATGCGCATGTTCCATCCTTCTTGGTCTTTTAGCTCACCCAATCGCTTCAAAGGTAGAAATCGGTGCCCGCCAAAGAATTGAACGAAACCGATGTGGTATTTGCATGCTTCAATTGGTCAAGAACAAATGACAGAATGCCGTGAACCTGGGACCATGAAAGGCACTCCGAACATGTTGACCAAGAATCTGGAGATGCACTGGTCTTCGGGTGTTCCAATGCCGCGAGTGGGGACGATCATTAATCAACAAAATGAAAATGGTATGGAATGGTACTTGGAATGGTCCCAACCGCCCTGCCTCTGATTTTTCAGTGCCTCGTTTGTTAGGTTTGCCAGCTTTGTCCATGGCGCACCAGTGCACGACAAGTCACAAGCGAAGCCCATTCAAGACAAGATCCCAAAATCAAGGCTTTTAAGCCGACAGTTGTTGAATCTGTCCAGGTTCAAGTTTGTTTGTACAGTGGGGGAGGACTCAAACGCGATTGCTCCTACGTTTCACTTGTTGATGGCCTGTGAATGCCTGTGATATTTTGTGCATGACCAGGGTAAGCATGGTGTAACATTGGTTAAAAAGCTACCATATAGCTCCTAGTAGCACTCGGGGCTGGGGGTTCCCGTACTTGCTGGACTCAGGTCAGGTGGATCAATCGTGTGTGCATTCTGTGGCCTACTGATTAGACTCCATTGAAATCTGTCCCATCGTGTCGCATCTATGCAGTGCTCGTCTTTCGCGCTGTTTTGTGGCTTGTGTATGCTTTTGCAGCGTCTGGTCACGCAAGGCTCAGGAGCTATCATCATCGATTTGCACACACCATGCCGCCAGAAAGCCTAACCAGTCAGCCTAAAGTCAATGTTGCAGAAATTGGCCACTACTTCAAGTTCAACTAAAATATCTATTTGGATGGTTGCAACTTACCAGTCCTGTGGCTTACCGGATCGCTCCCAGTATCTTTGCGCACGTGTCTTCACGAACTTTGCCAAGCGCTTGGCAAAGTCTTGGCCTCGAAAGGCCAATGCAGTTGGTGCAGCGGCGTGGAATGTGAGATCGATTTACATCCCATTCCCATCTGCGCACGTTCAAGGCCTTCTTGTGAAAGGCTTGAAGCACGATCGCTGCCGTGTTGACCTGCCAGTTCTGCGATGCTGCTCATCACTTGTAGTGTCTTCAAGTGTTGACTGACGTTATCATGCAATGCCAAGTCAAAACTGTATAGAGTCCATGTTGCAGCAGGCTGCGCTGCGGCCAACAATACAGCAGTTCTATGACTCGGCTCTCTATCCAAGTGAGACGCTACATGCTGACTGGGGGCTTGCAAAAGAGGTTTACTTCAGTCAATCAATCACAACCATTTGCATTTATGCCAAGACTAGTGATCCTTGGCTGGTGGTTTCATTCCTTTCCACGTACAGCACCGTATAGTACAGTCTTGTCTGATTCAGCTAGTCTTGCCAGTTCAATGAGGTTTGGTGTTTCTTTGAGCTTTTGGTGTTTGGCGACGGCAACCGTAAACAACCGTAATCCTTGCTTTGGCAGGAGCTCCACACCGTCTGGCTTCCTGATTCCTAGTAGCTTCTTGTTGCTAGTAGTAAGGCCAGGAGCTACTAGTAGCGTCCTTACTCCTAGTAGCGATGCCCTTTGCTACTAGTAGATGCAAATGCAAAGACCTTGTGTTTCTGACCGTTCCAGCCTTTTGATTCTGGCGATCCAGCACCGGCTCGTGTCAACCAAATGGGTCGTGAGCCTGGGCACATGTCTTACTGAAACAGGATCACAGTTTTGATAGGCAGTGCAGGCTGGCTTCTTCCAAATTAAAACAGAAGATGGTCCGCGGTTTGTTGCACTTGGAGACAAATGCAACTGTATGGAGGCAGCTCGAACTGGCTGAATTTCAACCACACCCTGTAACTGGCTGAATTCATGCTTATTCCCAATAGCTGCCAAAATACACTACTAGTGGCTCCTGGCATCGCTACTAGGAGTAAGGACGCTACTAGGGGCTCCTGGCCTTACTACTAGGTTGGATTGTGCACTCTCTGGGCCCTGGACCAATGTGAATTGCCATCAGGAATGGCAAAATGCCTCGGTTTTGGCCCGAAGCTTCTAGCAGAACAAAGAACTGGTCTGTTAAAGAGAAGGGCAACCATGTTGTTTTCATCACTTGAGCTTCACTACTCTGAACTATGTTAGCAAATAAAGATATATCCGTGTAGACTCTAAATGAGGAGCCTAAGTCCACAGTGAGTCTAATGCCAAGGCTGCCCGGGTACTTTTGGCCACTCGCCCATAGCAATGATTTGCCATAACCTGGGCACGTGCTTGAAGACTTTGACTTCGGGACAGCTGGACTTGTGGCGCTCAAGAGTTACAAAGCAGGTTTGTGGAAGGACTTCAATGCACATGACGCACATGACTCATGACTTGGAAGTATAGGTCACACTAAGGGAAAACAACGGCGGCTATGTTGTTGAGTCGTCTTCTTAAGCTTCTGTTTTGATGTAGACCCTGGCTGCTTGCAATTCCAGTCGTGGTGGCTGGAGTTGCACAAATGTAGGCATTATCTGCCCAAGCTCGAAGATGAACGGGAAAAGCCTGAAAATTATATGTCAATTTAGTAGGACGTGACGTACACTGGAAAGGACAATACATGCAGGCCTGGTCAAGCCATCTTTATGCAACTCATATGCCATATTAGTCCAATCTTTGGCAAAGTTCTGTTTGTTGTGCAGAGATCTCCCCAATCCACTGACCAGTGTCTGCATGCAATCCTTGCACTCACCAGTGAGTATGGCCATCAATAAACATATTTCAAGGACTCTTGGCCCTGAATACGCGCAATTTCAAGCCATCTTTGGGCTTCAAGTGCACACCGCTGGAATCAACCTTCATCTCTTCGAGAGCTTCCGGCAGCTCAAACCGGAAGCGCGAGAGTAGCATTGGAAACCATACCTCATGCGAGGTTGGTGTCTTTGGCTGAAATGTATGCAATTTTGTTGCTTGCACGTGCACAGTGCGCTCTTGACAAGAGTATTCCGTGTTATGTCATGACATGTTATATTTCATATTATTAGATATGTCCTTCTCTTCCCAGTATTGGGCCACGGGCCACTTTCCGCCAACTCGCTACGAGTGCTTCCAAAGAACACAGAGTGTCCAAACATGGCATCAAATCCGATCGATTCTAATCTATTATATATCCGTCATGGCGCGAAATCCACACTTCAACATTCCTTCATGGCTTGCTTGCGCATCAACTGCTTTGACATGCTTTGACCCAACAACACGGTCTCAGCTTTTCATGGCTATATAATTTGCTTTCTTGGGCATATTCATTCGGGAGCCAACCCTGCCAAGGGTCTCTGGCTTCCAAGGAAGACATGTCTCTTCCTGGGCAACTGTGAGCTCCAAAGTTGTAGGTCATCAACTTCGAAGATTTCAGACCTGGAGCTTGTGCAATGTCTGATGATGCCATGGGAATCATGATGAGAGGCCAAAGCACACGCGTTCCTGCAGGAAAGGCCGAAACTGAGGAAAGAGTTGACACGAGCTCAAAATGTTTGTTTACTGTCCAATGTTGCCCTCTTTTTGTGCAACTTGGCGGTGAAGGTGAACGGGCTTGAAACGGACCTTACTTCGTTGCTGAAAGTGCCAGTTCCCATTGCGGCTTGTGCGACCTGTTTGGTACCAGCACCATCAGCCTTTGGTTCTACTTTATGACAGACTGTATATGCAGGTAGTCACTTGAGGTGTGATCCGGAGATCAGCCCCCAGACGGGCCAAAGGCGGGTGGCAGGTGGCAGGTGCCCCGAAGACCGAAAGCCAACTCCTGGTTTGATGAAGCTACTTTTGGAGGTCTGCGAAAAGCCCACAGTCATCAAAAACTGGATGCCAAATCCTGGACAAGGGGAACAAAAACAAGATTGTATAATTGGATGCTGGCCCGAACACGGAAAGCCAAAAACCAAATCCCAAAAAATGATCGCGAGAAAGGTGCAATGTGGACCCAGCTCAAACACCGAAAGAAGAATCCCGCTAAAAAAAACAAACCGAGAAAACCAAACACCATCCAACATCTAAACCCTAAACAAGCCAAAGCAAAGGCAACCCCAATACAAACCAAATCACAAACCCTATAATTAAACTATATATGCCATACTGTTGATGGACAAAATCCTGCACCACTTTGCGCACACTTTTCTTGCTGCCCTCGTTCTCCCTCGTTAACATTGTGGCCACCACAGTGAGAAAACAAAAACAAGTTGAAGGTTCAAAATCCTGCACCACCTCCTCAGAGGGGTCGCGCCAACATTGAATGAGGGGCACGGGGGTTGCTATGCGACCCTTCCAGGGTAAAGTGGTGAGGTGGTGCAGGATTTTGTCCATCAACAGTATGTCCCTAATGTGGAAGATCGAACACCAAAAGGGGGTGACTACCTCGAAGACAAAAAACGAGAGCCAAACGTCGAAAACATGTTCCAGTATGTACACACAAACCACCCCTTAAAAATCCTCAAAAAAATGATCAAAAACCGAGTACCCATTCCATGAGATTTCGCTTGTTCCTAGGAACCGCATGCGTCCGTCAAGCCGACAGGCACAAACAGTGACGAACACAGAAAACCGAAGGATGGAAGCCCGAAACCAAGCCGAAAACCAAATCCCAAAATTGGATTCGCGAAGCGCACATCAAGCACAAAGGTCGGCAAAAAACATCAACAAACCACATTCACCAAAGATAAACACATGCGCAGAACAAAACTAAACGAAAAGGGGGGCCCCCATGGCTGATGCCCTGGGGTACCCCTACCCTGTAGACCTTCCCCTATAAAATACCTGCACATACATGGCAAATGCAATCCAAGGGTGGTCCAGGGGCTGAGTTAATATAATATATATATATGTTTAATTATATAAATACAGCGACAAATTTATCAAGGAAGCCGGAAAGCTGGAGGAAGGCTCCAAGTTACTTCTAGTATGGTAGCAGTCAATTGTTGTTGAGACGGACCCATCTAGGCTTCTTGCTGAACATGTTTCCCAAAAAAACAATCCACAACAATTGATCCACCATCTCACCCCACACTGTGGATTATTATGCCAAAGCTCTCCCCATGCCCCCCCAAAGGCCAAATCCCGAATCCGATTCTGACGGAAGATCTCCGGATCATTACGCAATATTGGAGCACATTCTTATGCGCAAAAGGTCGCTAAAGGTCGAAACAAAAGGAGGTCGGATTGGCTTCCACATGTCTCAGTTCAGCAAATTATTCAAACCGTTCAATCGCAATCTATTGCTTCAGGGTGCCACGGATCCTATCCTTTTGTTCTGAAATAGCAAAGCTGCAACACATTAGCGTGAAGCGTCCTCATCTTCCAACGTTTCTGACAATCTCACACTTGTGCTCGATCGGTGACGGAGAAAAGGCATCATTTTTGGCAAAAGGTAACGACTGTGTATGAGCCTTGCCGAATCTTGCCCCACCCCTGAACACCTGGTAGATTGCCTAAACATCACCCTCTTGGACGCAAACAAGCAGCCTGTCAAAAACGCAAAATGATAATATAGGAGATTATAGGAACCCCTATCGTATAGCGGAACCTATGCAGAAATGCGGACTTCGAGCATAATGTACCAACACACTGACACATCTATGCCATGCCACCCACCTCCCTTATCAATGTTTCCTGTAGTTCAAGCTTTCCTGCGAAACTAATTGAAGGCCATTGCCCGAAACCTGCTGTACAACCTGCAATGTCAGGCTGCCCAAATCATTCAATGCATGCAAGTTAAATATACACATACCATCACATACCCTGAAGTTAAATATTTCATACCTGTGAAGGAGTGAAGGGATGAAAGCCAGCCCCCTGCCCGGTCGGTGTGCGGTCTAACTGAAGAGTTGTGTTTATGGTTTCTGGTGAGAGCCAGGGAGTTGATGATGCAAAAAATGCAAGTCTAACTTATTCAAGGCAGTTTTAAGGGTTTACTTGGCCCCACGAGACAAGGTATGACACACATGTGGGCCTGGGACACATTTTGTTCATTTCTGTTCCAATGCTTGATGATAAATGAAACCAGCGGTGCCTTGCCAACGTTCTGGATTGAAACGCAATGGGCAGTCTCCAAAGTCCGAGGATCGCTGCCCAGCCAGGACCTGGTGCAACCCTGTCGAAACCTAGCGTCCTTGTTCCTAGTAGCGATGCCAGGAGCCCCTAGTAGCGTCCTTGTTCCTAGTAGCAAGGCCAGGAGCCCCTAGATGTTTTAAACATGCAGATTGCTCTAAACTCTAAACTCTCCAAGTCCCATGATCCAGGCTTTAGCCATTTCAAGAAGACCCCAGCAAAATCAAATGCAAAGGAATCAAAGACTTAGAAACAAACGGCATTCTTGTCTACATCTCAGTCCTGGATAGCAACAACTGTCAGAGAATTGAACCAACCATCCGAAAGAGTTCGATGAGCAAAATGAAAGCACATGCACTCGCAACTATCAACTAGGAGTGGTAGCAAAAGAATGCAAAACGGGATTGTTTCCGAAAATCAAGTCAAGGACTGATGTAAGCAACACTGCTCTTGAACAAAAACTAGGCCATTAGTGCGTACTTGAAAATGCAATTGAGACATTCCACCGGCTACTCTTTCTGCAAAGGTTCTCACTCGTTTCACTTTGTTTGGCAATGCACGGGCGCCTGAAAATGTAAGGTGGTCTCTTTGCTAATGCTGTAACTCCTGAAGCAGGTCTTATTTGGCACTCTCCCAATTGGGCAACTGGGAAACATGAGCAACTGTCTTCACAAAACCTTTTATATACTGGCCTCTTTCCAAGTTCAGCTGCGTTTCTCGGAACCAAAATCTTCAAGCGTATCATACAGTACGATGGATCCAGTCCACGAAGGAACTATGATCAAAACAAAACTGATTGATCGTCCTTGTTGATCGGGTCAAACCTAGCTATCTAGCGGACAATATCTCAACATGGCGCAACAATTTTTAATCTTCAACTATTGCCCTGGCAATTTCTTTTGCGTTTTGCATTCGGTTCTACTCTACAGTAACTCATCCTGCAGCAATCGTCCTAACACCACCAAATGGTCCCTCTGTCTCTGTCCCTCTGTCCCTGTGCCTGCCATCCATGGGCACTTCGAAGTCGTCATAAGCAACTCCGGTCAATGCAGGAGTTGGGGGCAATAAGCGCAAGGCCTGGACGGCAGTACAGGCAGCGATTGACAACGACTTGTGGCGACTATCCGCGTGCTGGTTGCATTGCTGCTATGGGGGTTATTATATGCAAAATAAGTTCTTTGTAT